TGATTGGATCTCCGGCTGTGAAAAGTCATCCTGTGTAGCTCGCAGGGTCACCGAGGCGCGCAAGCCATCACACCACATCAAGGTGCAGTCTCGTCGTGATGGGATAAGTTCCATTGAAACAACCGATCATATAAAGCCGTTATTTCTCCATAAACAGGGCTTACAACCGTTGTCATATGACGTTCCTGCATACGTTTATTGGACAATTCATTTCATTTCATCTAGTCCAGCAAACACCAGTCAAGGTTTTTGGGAAAAACTGCATTTCAACGTGCGCTGTCTGTGAACAGTGTGCGGCCCTCTAAAACTGTTTCACATCATACTGAAAGTCGCTAGTCCCTTGGTGTGATTTATATGAGGTGACGCAAGGCAGATTAATTATTAGATATGCTGTGGACAGAAACCAAGAAACGAGATTGTCTGTACAGATAATCCCATGCGAAGTAAAAAGTAGAAGTAAAAAAGAGAACCGACTTGGTTAACATTGTGTCGGAATCACGGTCCGAAATAATAATGACTCGAACGATAACCAAAATAAGAAGACGAATGGCGAGAATTGACAAGAGACGTCAGGATAACAAAAAGTGAATGGATCATCATCTATTGATTTCACGAAGTCGATAGAGGTAAATTAGTTGACCGTTCGGAAATGCGGGAATTTTTGAAACTATTATCGTAACACTAGTGTGATTGAATGTCCCTACTTCGATCAATATAAAACATTAGTTAAAATCGTACGACGAATGTGTGACTTGACAGCTGTACGTGTAGTTGCCCTACTTCTACCTACTACTAATATGGAATTCCGGTGCAACAAATAGCAGAAAATAAGACGAAATAAACATTACCGCAATAAAAAGAGGACGGAAAAGGATGCAGGATAACTATTGGATAAAACATTAAATTATATCAACACAAACAGTGAGTTAATGGAAGACATCAAACTTGTTCAATCAAACAATTTGAACGTTTTATATGCACAGAAAAACAGGGGAAAACGGACAGAGAACAAACGAGAATTGTAGACTTACTTGGCACACAGAAAACATGAGAGTCAAATTGCAATGGATTCCATATTGCGATTCAAGAATTCGGGCAGCCTGAATACCTTCCCAAGTGGAGCTCAACTTGATTAGTATACGCTCTTTGGATATTCCCATCTCACTGTACATGGCAATCAGATGACGCGCGACCTCCACTTGCTTATGAGTATCGAAAGAATAGCTGACAACAGGCAGAGATTAGAACAAATCACAGAACAGTGGAAGAATTACCGTGCGTCGACTTCCGTGGAAACACGTCCAGGAATACACTTCAGTATTTCACAGCCAAACAGAACAAATACACGATCGAATGCCGCTTGAACCTGACAGTCTAGTGTGCTAAAAACCGAGTCGTGGAGATTTTCTCTCAGTTTGTCTGCTTACTTCTTGTGTTTGCCATACTTCACCGCCTCGTCAATCAAGTGTGAATACTGGGGCATGCGGGAAGCCAACAGGATAAGAGATGGATTGGTGGTAGCATCGACAGGTGAATATTTTTTTATTGCTAAAGGATAAATGGTATTGCAATCGATATACCTTCAAAGTCTCCTGTATCCGCAACGACAGTAGTGAATTTTTTCAAGTGATCCAAAGTTGATGTCATTGTGTCGGCTGAAAGCATAGGTCAAACGGTAATTAAATTCGATGCAGGTAACATGGAAAGTATTGGCATAACAATCAGTGGAAAAGAAAATAGAGGCGAGCTGATAGAGTCATCCCACTGAGAAGGCACTTATGCAAAAACTTATTCCACCAGTTCCATCTAATGCCTACGAATTTCTCCTTGCATTTAATAACTTGTTACTCAGATGTATTGATAGCACGTGTCGACTGCGTATTGTTCTGGGACGAAGTGGACG